AAAACAAATCCTATACAAAATACCAGTGAGGGTCATGGCACAATTCAACACCATTCCCATGTCAAAAATCAACTGTGAAGAATTCACCTGTGTATTTTTGTCATCTGCAATGGGCATTCTTGTTTACTATCCACACACCCTTATGCGAAGGACTTGAAAAGGCTATGCTTCAGCTGAAATTCTAAACACAAAAACTGGATCATGTCAAAAATAGAAATATTTTTAAAGATTATTTGTTGCAGAAGTCAGTGATTTTCTCAAGAACATTCAAAGAGCAAAATCTATCAGGAGATGGTAAGTGGCAAATCCTGATTAGCTAAAATAATGAGCATTTCACTAAAAGGAAATACCCAAGGGAAACTAAAATTATTCTGGCTATTTTCCCTTTTCTAGTGAAATAACATGTATGGTTTATTTTCAGTTTGTTCCACTGGAGCAGAGGAGAGAGAAATAAACGAAAGATGAGTGCCATAATCCATGAGAGCCCTCTCAGACTTCCACAGATAGTGAAACTTAACATTGACAGGTATGGCAGCGACTCATCTCAGAGTCTAAGCTCTGCTTTGGAATCGGGGACAGCACTAAAAAGAACAGGGATAAAGAACTCCTATCAGCCTCGGCTGGTAAGAGAGGCAAGGTGTAAAAACAATCTGTAAGCATTGTAAACCAAGAAGTAAAAAACGCTGTAGCCACCTTCTTGCCATTTTATTCTTTATTTTGTTGCTGTTACAGCAGCGTGGAGTTTAATTTTAGTATTAACTACTACAAAATCACCACAATTATTTGTATGGTTGTAGAGACCTAAAAGATCAACTGCCCTACATACAGAGGGGGCATCTGTACAGGTGGGCAACAAGCTCTTGACCTGGCTGGCACATGCTCTGAACAAACTCCAACTCCCCCCTCTACAACCACACCTGGAGAACCTGGGTGTCGCACCCAGGAACCTTTCCAGCTGCCTGGTGGTAACCAGCTGCTCCGAGATCATATGGAACATATATGGCACTCCATCACTTGTACCAACCTTAGCGCCGAAGCATTTAAAGTCGTAAGAAAGAAATGCAGGCAAACCTTAAAGAGAGGAAAGCAGATGTACGGAGATGAAGTGGCTTCCCCCAGCAAGCCAATAATAAAAGCAACAGTGCCTGAGCTACAGGATCATGCATCCTATAAGCAGGTATGGTCAGATTCTTTTTACTTTGCTGCTTTACTGATGGAAACCACATGTAAAGTACTGTTACACTACCTGCCCTTTACACTAGCTAATTGCTCCTTTGTTTTAGAAGAGCCCAGCAGTTGCCAAGGGTTCAGAGAGTCAAATAATCTACGGAGATCTTGTACAAGGGAATGAGCGTTTAGGCCTGGCTTAGCACTGCCCAGTATCATCAAGGCAACGATGACTATGTTATCATTTAATGATTTCAGGACTGTGCACACACTCCTATCACAGGGCCTTCAGTGCAATAGCACTGAAGAATAGGATAAAACCCCACAAAAACGGGCAATGCATACAATAGCTATGTGTCCAATACTGTGTATGTAGCAAGTTGCTCTTCTGTTGCTACAGCATACACTTTCAAGCAAATTCCCCAATCAAATCAACAATTCCAAATAGCCATCCTAATCTTAAAACTCTTCAATAAAAAAGGGAAGGAATGAGAAAATGCACAGAAGATTCAAAATTTCATTTGGTAAATACTAAGCAGATGAATAGGCAACACACTAGCAATTGATAAACACTGATCTAGAGAAGGTATCTCCAGCACTTTAAAGTATGCTGAAACAGATGATTGTAGGTCCTAATTAGTACTTTCAGTGTGTATGTATATATCTATATACATGCACAAAATATTCTTGTTTATATGTACACACTTAGCTGAAATCACAAATTTTTTTCACACACTTCAAGCTGAAGAGATTTCTTTTATCATTTTGCTGTATTTTAACAATATATTCACTACAGAGCAGTTTCATAATTAAAAGCCTTTAATTAAAGAAGATTAATTAAACATGAGATAAGCACAAATACTAAACAAACTACTTCAGAGAAAACCCAGGATCTGACCTACCAAAATGACTCTACATGCATTTACACATGCTGTGAATTACTGTTTGTAGATAATTGCCTTGGCTGTCTCCTTAAAGTCAACCAACCACATATTAAATAACATCAAATCAAAAAAAGAAGCCAGGGCTGACTGGACTTGCAGTTAAATGCATTAATTTTTTTTTTATATACCACAGCATTAATGCATTATTGATTCAAAATTATTTACCAGTGGACCCTAATCACAAAGAATACTTCCAGCATATTTCTAAAGCTCGCTTTCAACCCTCAAAATAAAGACATTATCTTACATAGAGATTTCTCCATAATTTACTTATTTCCTTCAAATTACTTCTCAGAGAATCCTAATCCTAGAAATATAATTTGCTTTATATATTGACAACTTAGATACATTTCCTAGAGTATTTTAACATGTTCTTGCTATATGATACAGTAGAAGTAAAATGACTCTTTTTCTAGGAAGGCCGCCTAACCGAATGAACAAAGAAAAGGCAACACTTAGGTCCTACACGTAGTAATGCAAAATTTTAATTGCTTTTGAGATCTCTGGCATTATTCTTCCTAGCAGACAGGGTCAGGCCAGCTCTGTACCAAAAATGACTTGTACCAAGGTCAATGAATGAAGTAAAGCAATATGAAGGGGTGTTTATTTGCCACATTTCAAGAGATCTCTATACTCATTTCAAAAATGCACAATTTCACAGCTATCAGTGGGAACTGTAAATTCACCTGGCGAAGAGGGCCACACAATTCAGAAAGCATTTGCAAAGGGAGTGGACGTCCTAGAAACATCAGAAAATTAAAAGCTTAATTAACTTTTAATTGATCCCTTAAATACAAGTGTGAATACTTTTGATAAACCTATACAGGTAAGAATTTTGGTTCTCTGCACCCTTAGATTTCAGATCTACCAAAGCAGCCAAATGCAAGCTATCCAGCCTATTGCCAAAGAAAAAAAACCCAAACCAAAAAAACCAAACAATCAAAACCCTCTACTATTTCAATGAAAATTTGGTCTGGTTTTGGATCTTACCTCTTTTTAGGTCTTTGAAAGTACCCTTCTTCGACTACATTAATGGGTTTATCTGCATACAGATTAGAGATTTCCTAGACTGTTTTCTAACTTAATTTATAAACATTTCAACACATTTCTTCCCAGAAAGGTGTGGAAACGGTGGGTTTACATTTTTAGGACTTTTCCCCTAAGCAATAAGGGAACAGAAACAGGAGCAGGGATGAATTCCACCAGCAACAAAAACTGAGGTTCTAATTATAGTCTCCAAGGCGGACGCTACAGAGGTAGTCTGCCAAGACCTCTTTCATTACTGAAATAACCTCAAACTCTTTCAAGAAGTGTAATCTATCAAGACATATGGAAGAACAGAAGGCAATTTTAAATAGGTTTAATAGACAGTTGCTTAATTTATTTATTTTTTTAATTGAAAGACAAATAATCTTTTCAAAAGGTTGACATGTATGGAAGAAGCTAGCCTGAGAAGAATGAAAGTCCTGGAGGGAAAATGCAATATACCTCACAGACTTACAGAAGAGTGTGTGTATATATATGTATTTGTTGCATGACATTTAAACCAAACTGACAGAATTGTGACATTTAAAAGCACTTGAGAACAAACTCTGCTTTATGGAAATTTTTTATTACTGTTGACTTCCAGAGAGAAAATTTCACTATCAGCATGTATGGCATGGGCAGTGAGTAAAATGAACACAAACACAAGGTTCATTAATGAAGTTAATGGGGGAATGTATTACATACAACATTTTGTTCTCTGTTACAGGGTGGTACATGTAAGTGCAATTTGAAGCACAGTCAAGTTATAGGCACAGGCCTATAGAGTCTGTAGAAATTCAAACTGCTTAAATGTAACAACACTTTTTCCATATTGCATATGTCCTAAAGGCATTATTTATTTTTTGAGGTACCTTGAAACCCTGATGACAAATCTTGAGGTCACTTTATTTTCCCTTCACTGGGTGCTGAATTAGGCTGCTTACTAACGTTTGAAAAATTACTGTCAAGAAACAATAGTAACCGAGATATGACTGCTATTTTCTATTTCTTCATTATGCAAATACTTAGAAAATTGAAAATCACAGAATCATAGAATAGGTTGGGTTGGAAGGCACATTTAATAATCATCTAGTCTACCTCCCCTGCAATGAGCAGGCACATCTTCAACTAGAGCATTAAATTCTGTATGTGAGCTAAAAATAAATTGACTTGGTGATCAAAACTGTGCTTTATAAGACAGGCTGCTGCTGATCTAATGTAAATACTGATTTAAAAGACAAGGCAATGTTTTCCTTGTATCTAGACACATCACTACTCTATCAGTTAGGAGCAGCCAATCCTTCCTATATATGCCTGTACACCCTGTTTTCTTCAACATAAGAGATATATGCTGTATTCTTATTGCCTTCTTAGCAGCTGTAGTAACATCTATTTGTGAGATGAGTTCCTTGTACAGGCTAAGTACAGGTAATGCCAACTTGTAATTGCAGGCAAAATGTAATTGAACACAGCCTTTTATAAGGTTCATAAGCACTCATACGTGCAGTCTTCCAAGCATAACAAGGATAAGGGCAATGCTTATCTATAAACACCATTTTATTGGATGGCTTCAAACAATAACAACAGCTATTTTGTAAGGCTTCTGTAAATTACTAAAACTCCAGGAAGAAACTTATGGTACACTAAACCATCACCAAAAAATAATCAACCATCATCAAATACATGTTTGAAACTGATGAAGTACCACCTCAAAATAATAAAATAATGCCTACAACAGCCTTCAAACAGCAATGAGCTCTCAGTTTCAACTGAATCAATGCTGCTGCTTTGCCTCAGCTATTGCTTCTACCCCTACTACAGAGACTGTCTCCTTTTTATTACAGTTATTGAAAGAACTCTTACCTCTCCATCTCGTATTCTTTCATGCCCACTTTCACTGCCTTCATTACCTGTAAAATACATATTAACATGGGACATTCATAGCAGGAGGGAATCTCATATTTATAAATTTATGACTTATGACTGAGTATCTCCAGAGGAACCTATATTACAAAAAAATCATCTGTGCTTCATTTAAATTTACATCAGTACATGCATTTTCAAACTACATTAGAAATCAAACTCATTTTAATCTTTATAAATGCCTGCAGTCTGCAGCAATAAAGCAAGTTTAATTGCCAAACTACTATATCCTAATGAAGTGCAGCTCATCAAGATACCAATGCTTAATTCTGAAAGCTTTGGTGAACTTGGCAGCAAGTCCTTTTGTTTTACTTTTATAAAACACCAGCAAAACAAAACTGTGAACTGGAATACACCACAAAGGAACATTCTCTTTTGTACTTTGCAATCTGAATCAACAGAAAGCTACTAAATTTAACACTGTTTTACAACCCATAAATCTGATTTTTGTTCTCAGATTTCTGAGAATGTACATCAGTTTTATTCTTTTGCCTGTTTCTGTATTATAAAAGTTCTAGGCAGCTGCTCTATGGAAGAAATTCTCTCAGATGTGATAAGATTATTCAGGGATGATGAAGGACCAAGGTGAATGAATGCAAATGACTATGCCTAGGCTCTGCAATTTTACAATATTCTCTTTAGAGTATTATTACACTTCACAGTTCAGAAATCTGAGGAACAGGAGCAACGATATTAGTTGAGTCAGTAACCTCACCAGCTACTTTTACCCAAGCTCCCTCTGGTCATCGCTCAGAACTCATGGCATCTCTGCATCACTATATGGAGTACAGGACTGACACCCAAGTTAATTTTGTCATCAACACCAGTAAAGCAATAGAATTCCAGTGGTACAGTGCTAGGTCCAACCTGAGTAGCCTTGCTGAGATCCTGGATTTGTTTTTGTCACACTGCTATGTCAACAGAATAGCATCATGTAGCACTGTACTGGGGGACATACCCATCTCTGAGCAGCAACCTAAGGAATCCTTGAGCTATCCTCCACTGTACAAGGAAACACTCCTTCAGTTTGTAAGGATCTGGAGAGAGTAACTTGCTAGGTAAACTTTTCAGAGCTGCATGTGCTGACATAGGCCAGAAGAATAATCTTGATAGCCTCTTTCTCCATCATTACATAGGTATTTGTGCATACAGGACAGCTAGATTACAAGTAGGTCACCTTCTGCTGAGTCTGAATCTCTTATCCAAAACCACACTTGATTTCTCACACATCACAAATGCACCAGTGAGTTCAAGGACAATGCAAGGTATATTACTGGGCTGCAATAAGAGGGATATTATCCTCTTATTTCTATCCAGCCTTTCCATTATTTTATTACTAAGCAATTCAGGGTTGCTGGGAACATTTTCTGAGTACCACTGCGACACTAAGAGCAAAAATTATTAACAGTAAAGGATCCATTACCTCTTTATGAGCTTCACTGGAGATTTTATTGGTGTAACGCAGAACTTCCAACTCCATGTCTGTCTTAATCACACGACTTAAAGAAAAGTAGAACAGGTATCAGGTTAGGTTGCAACTTCACAGCTTAAGAATATGAAATAAGAAAACCTGAAAATAATATGCATCAGCTATGGTAAAATTAGATCAAGTACACCTCAAGAGAGAAGAGCTATTACAGTATTCATGACAGCGAAGTTTTGTTGGCATTGATTCACCATTAGCAAAACAAACTTACAAAGGGAAGTCACAAGCATTTCAAACATCAGCCTGCATTATTTTAATACTAATAAACAAGTGGTCCAACCAACATTTTTTCAACTCATTCTACAATACATTAGGAGCAATGCATTTCTGCATTTGTCATGGCTCAAACACTACTTCAGACAGAACATTTCTACAAGCATACTTGATTTACTTTTTAAAGACAATTTGAAACTAGTTTACATAATGAAATTCCTACAGCTCCAGAATTTCTGTTCATCACAATCCCAACTCCCACCTATTTGCAATACCTCAAAAAGCAGAGGGAAGGGGTGTGAAGAAATGTTGTTTCTGTTTGGTATGAAAAAACACAAAACATGAAATTCAGAAACCACAGCAACAGTAACTACAGCCACAATGTCCATTCTCTTTCACATGCTTCTGAAGGAAAAGAACCAAAACAAACAAACCCCCAAAACCCCCTTCCTGTTTTTCATGCTTTATGAGACACTGAATTTGTGTCCATTTATGAACCTTGATACTCTGTTCTGAACTCATCTCAAAAGATTTACTCTTACCTACTTACACTGCTTTCTACCATGTATTTCAAATAAAACCAGCTAGTTAGGATGACATGAACAGGGAACCAGAGATAGCTCCATACCTTCTATTAAAAATCAGCTCCTCTTTCCACTGCTATACGCACTGACTTCCTAATATTTCTCATGTCCATCTCAAAGGCAGCCATGAAGTACATACTTACTGTTTACAAAGAACAAAACTACATCTATTGAATTACATGAAAATATTTAAATTTTATTTTCCAGTTCCACTCCAGAGCTTGCAGCAGTTAGAAAGTACCACAACTGTTGTATTTTTAAACTGTCACCAAGACAAGCCCTTTTTTATTACAACATGGTCCTACGGACACTGCTGTAGAAAACTGTTTACTGTATTTCTGCTCCTGTAGTTTGTTTTAACGAGTCCAGAAACAGGCTTCTCAGCCATCAGTGCCTCTGACATGCAATAAGAACATTTCCTACAGACAGCGACTGCATCACTATGTGGCACAGCCACTCCCCTTCAAACACAACTTTTCTGGCAAGAATAACGGTACCTTTGTAAAAATGCTGATATCAGTCAAAAAGCTCTTACAAACAGGAACACAGCAGAGGGGAATGGATTGACACTGTTAGTCAATTGGAATATGACACAAAATAATCACTAGGCACATTGAGTATGAGAAGTACAAGGCTTTAAAATGCACACCAAAGTGAAAAAATTACACTGGGATGGTATAATCTGCTCACCATGGATGAGGAAACAAACTTCTGCTTCTGCCTTTCAGCCAAGACATGAAGAACAGCAGCTCAAATATATTCATGTTACAATGAAGTAGCAAAGGCTTATAGTTTTTTTTTTTTTTTAAATCCTGTTCTTTGGAAGACTGCATGTGCTAGAAGGATAATTTAATACTTGTTTGATGTGCTTTTGTATTATTTTCAATATACAGTACATATCTCTGATCTGCAAATGCCTGAAAAAATAATTCATAATTCACTTGTCTAATCTCTTTATTGGGATCTGCTAGTAATACAAGTTAGTAACTGCTCAACGGCAAGTGCAAACAGCATTAGAACCTATTTTACTTGACTAGGTCATGAGGCTTCAGGGTCAAGGTATTTATTTTAGATCATAACTTCTCAGGTATCTTTTTGCGTATACAAATTCACGCTCAGCCTCAGACAGGCTTTTTATGCAATGCATCACCTTCATTTACACAAGGCCAGGCACTGAAATGTTTTACAGAAGATGTTTAGTCATTCTGAGACCAACAAAAGCCACTACCCGACCGTTAGTAGGGAAGAGAGGGAAGATGCACAATTGTGCAGGGAACATGATGAACTTCACCCTCCACTAGATACCAAAAAGAAAAAGTCACTGAGCTGCTATGTTGTCTGCAGTGGTACTGTTGATGGAATTCCCACCAGCAGAAGGGCACGTATTTCACCACCACCTCACTGTTCTGATGGCATGAAAAGCAACATTCTCCCAAGCCAGGTTTAAAGCATTGCTAGTCAAGGACTGTGGTTAGCACTAAAGGGCAATCTTGTGGGTGATGAGTGGTCCACAGTTCTCATGATGTTTCCCCCCACTTCCAAGATAAGGCTAGGAAGAAAGACCCACCTTTGTTCACAAATGTGAACTTCAACGTTCTATTAAAAACAGCTCTTTGGACCAGTTACACACTCTGTATACATTCATGAATATTTTAATGGAAACAAATAATTTCCAGGCTCCAGCTAATGCAATTGCACAAATGTACAGATTCAGCATGTAACACAGCTCTCAGATTAACAGGCAAGCCACTCAATGCAATCAAGTTAAAATAGAAGCACAAGTCTCCCATTGTCAAGGCTGACCTGTAACTTTTAACTCTTTTCATTTTACCAGTGTAAAAACGTTTCTTCTTTCTCACTCTACTCTTTTACATGCACTTTGTGCTTTTATGTGCACTTATGAGCAGGTGGCCTTTTCATGCATGTCAGTCACCCTAGAGAAGAGTGAAGCTTTAGTACAAACAAGTTATCATTTCAATCCTGAAATTAAGTTTGGTCATTTTAAGTGGCTGGATACCAAATTTCATGCACAACCTATTTTCCATTAATCAAGTGGTCAAGAGCACACAGAATTCAAGGCAATTATGAGGGTGAAACTTGCATAACTCAACTACATTTTCCTAAACCAGTGCTTTCCTCAAAGATACACAAATGTTTGCTTCTCTATGTACATTCACCATTCCTGATCACACCACCAGAAGTATTTGTTATCAGCTGTCTTCTTTTGTTGGGTTTAGTACATGCATGCAACCTTAATGGCTGCTTTCTGTGACATGCATGGAAAACATATGGGTACATCCACTCCTTGTCCTTCTGGAAACATTAGGTTTACGGGCCACCTAGTAAATATAGATGCTGCCCACATAGACAGAATCTGCAGTCCTGCCTTGTCTTCACCCTTTTTCAGGTCTGCTGTTACCTTCCCGCATCTTATTTATAGAAACTTCTCTACCATAGTTGATATATTCATGCACTTCTGCAAGCCTTCACATAAAAACTTGCTAACTGGATTAGCATAAAAGCCAGTAAATGTAGTAATGCATGTATGCAAAGGAGAAGCACTACAGTACAATTCTGCAAGACAGTTGCATGAATACCAAACACAGGAGCTAATCTTGAAACAGTTCAAAAAGATGCTAAGAGGTTTACAACATAAATAAAAAAACCCTCTGAAAACACAAAAAGCATACGCCCAGCTTTAAGACATTAACATACAGATCACTTTCCCCGAAGAAACAATGATAGCTTTCCAAAATAATGCAAAACACAGAACACATGAAATCTTACACATGTAAATACCAAATCCCATTTTCGTTGTGGTTACAGGAAAATACAGTATATACAGGCACAAAACAAGCCATACATTGCTAAATGTTTATCTTGTATCACCACCACAATTATGGTAGACAGACATTGGTATACTAAAGTAACAAAAGACCACTTTGCTAACTGCCAAATTCCTTCTGATTACTAGGGAGATAATTTGGACAAGTTTGGAGCTTGTCTTCTGTTAGAGGACATTTTCTTTTCAAAACAGTGAAATCAATACTTAGCACATACATTCAGTATCAAATTTGAAATGAGAGTGCTTAAATTTTAAAGTGTTTAAATGTAGTTGAAAACACATTCACTCAATTTAAAAAATAAAAGTGAAAACACCCATCTGCAAACTGCTGAAATCCATTCTAAGGTCAAACTCTTTTATGTTTTATCCTTGTTTTATAGCAAGTCAGAAAACCTTGAAATCTTGAAAAAGGATGAGTAAAGAAGGGAGACAACAGATCACAAACGCTTCACCCCATGTCAGTATCGAACCATTTTCTCTGCATTTTATTAGAAGACTGTATAATACTAGAGTTGCCTTTTGTAGCTCACAGTTCTCCCCGGCTGGTTCAGAAAGCTCAGCCATTTCACCTCTTGCTGGCAGTTTTGACAGCATGGTATAGATTGGAGTTTTCTGACAAGTATTATGCAAAACTGAATAGATCAGAGTTTGCTGAATTTGAAATTATATGCATCCATGCAAGCATACGATTCAAACTAAGCCATTTCCTACCCTTGAATATAACCCTCCAAAAATTAATCTTCCTAAAAGAAAAATATTCTTAATTCTAAAAATGCTATTGCTTTCCAAAGAAAATTTCTTGGGCAGTAACTTGGCATTCCAAGGAAATTTCTACTTTAGGAAGCTTTAATACACATAGTCTATAATTCACATATTGATTTCACCAGACACTTCAATCCTAACAACAGTCTTTAACATATTTCTGACTTAAAATGAAAGCCACCAAACTCTATAAAACCTTTTAAAACACTTCTGAAAGCAAATCTGACCTTTGGCTTCACTTCCTTTTCCCGGAAAGCCAGGTGGAGGGAAGGTGCATACCAAGCATCTCTCTCCCGCGAGATTGCAGGCAGACAAAATCAGAATTCTGGGCTGGCACTCCCAATTCACAGAAGAGATTCTCTCTACACCAAAAATAAACAGCTCCAAGTGCTGCCTTTCTACTGCCTTGGTGCTCCATCTATCTCAGTACAACCCCAGGGCACAGACCTCATGTTTGTCCATCCCTGAGCTTCCTGAAGAAGATTTAAACCCCCATTAACCCAAACCACAGAGGAGAAAAGCTTATCAGGTGACACCCTGCTAAGGTGAATGGAATCAGAATGAAAGCTAACTTGGGAACGAGCTTGCAGCCCTAATCCAAAGCCTTCTGCAGCAAAAATTGTCATCTCTCTCCCTGTAGTGCTGCTGTGTCTACAGATCAAAGCTTGGAAGTTAGACCAGGCCTCTCTTCAGGTCCCCTTTCCTGCCCCTTGCCTTTATCTGCTCACAAGACTACAAAAACACGGCCAAACAAGAGGAGCACAAAAATGGCACTGTCAGGTTAAAGACGTAACTCCCTCCTCTGCTCTTTGTTTAAAAAGGTCACTTAGACAATCCTCCTCTGGCTGCTGGGCACATCATAATGAAGCGTCAGAGGCTGAAAGTTACCTTAAATAACAAAAAACCCCTATCCCCAACACCAAACCAATCAACTAGAACTCAGCAGCAGCCACCTCTGCAGGAAAATAAGACACTATGATGAACTTCTAACTTGTAGCCTTCTATTATTTTTGTAAGCAATGTAACACAGCATCAGGGGTCTCAGAGCATGTGTGAACATTTCTAGATCTTCCCTATCAATACCTGTAATGACAGGAGCTGGACTAATTAAATACAAATGATATTTTGAAAAGAAAACAGGTTTTACTAAGCTCCTTCTTTACCCAGTCTTCCTAATTGTGTTTAATTTGTACAGCCCTACACATCAATTTCTGAACTGAGGTTCTGTCTACGTTACTCAGGACTCTGCACCTCAAAGGCTGACCAACTCTTAAATTCAGAAATCAATTCTATAAGGTAACTTCTTTGTTTTGGAAAAGGAAGGGTCCAAATTCTAGAAGGACAGAATAGGCAAGATTTAAAAATTGGTACCCTGAGCAATTTTCTGTGTTACAAAGCACTCACATTCCCCCTTGCACTCTTCAGTAAGATTTGCAAGCCCTGAGTCCCTCTACTATACATCTCCAGGTCCACCTGTGACTTAGTGACGCAAAAATGTCTAAGCAAAGTTTCCCCGCTTCCCGCTTTCCTTCTACAACTTAACGTTGTAGAATAACAACGCATGTAGAATAACATGCCAAGCAATGCAAAATGGCTGTAACAACAGAAATGTGACCTATTAAAATTCTACACATTCTGAAATCGCATTGTTGTTCAAAAAACATCTCCTCAACTTCCAAGCTGGCAACTAGATGTAGACGAAGACAGAAGATTGTTCTCAGCACATGTGCTAATAATAAATATTAAAAAGAATAATACATGAAAGAATATAATACAATCAGCTACATCAGGGTTAGTCAGAGTGTACACTTTCCTGTTTGTATTTTAAGATTCTGAGCTTATCTGTCTTAATTAAGGATTTGCCTCCTCATTTCTAGATCAATACACTCAAAAAGCTTAGATAAAAAAACTAATTCATTAACAAAAATCCACTAAGTTATTTCTTCACTTCATTTCCTAAATGGAAAACTAGAAAGCCCTAGTTATGGGGCAATCCTCAGGACAAAGTCAGCAATGTTGACCAAAAGAGGAAAACTGGTAAAATGCAGTAGCTTTGCAAGCTGCTAATACATTTAGTCACACTCTCTAATTTTGTCTAGTCTAGATAGGCTACCGCAGACTTCCCCTAGAATTACAAAGCACAGTTACATGAATAATAATTCAACAAAATTAATGCTGTTAAAATAAATACTAGAAAAGTAATAACACCTTATTAAATATTACCTGTTCAGAGACAGTTTTCATCTACCTTTTATTTTTGTTGCTAGAATAAGAAATATCCTCAGTTCTTTTCCTATTCATACAAATTCACATTTACACGTGACTTAACTCCAAACACATTCTATAAAAATGTATATCCAGATACAAGACTTAAGAAATGTTACATAAATTCTTGACTTTTCAATGCTGTTACCTATCCCTGTTTCTATTTTTGTACATTATTTCTATCCCACAACATGAAATCAGCTTGAAATTGAAACTCATAGAGTAGACTAGGAGGCTTCTGCTGAGGGAATCTCTCTGAAGCAATGGTACAGAATATAAATATAAGCGCATTCACCAGTACTGGAAGAGAATGATTTTATGCTACTCACCATTCTGCAATTTCAGGATGAAGGATTTTGTTGTTCACATTAAATCTACAAAAAAACACAAATGTTAAAAAACAGCCAAGCACACAACAGCAGAAACTGCACATTTACTTTTTTTTTTTTTAATGTGTCATCTCTGAGGATGTGAAAACCTGCAAAGGCAAATATTGTACTGGAATTCAGTACAGATCATTATAGATCCCACTGAGGAGAATGCACACACACTCACCTTCACTGTGCAGGTGTTTAATTGTTTAATTATGAAATACATAGGACTAAATCAGATATATAATTTTAAGAATGTTCAGAAACCACAGTAACAGTATGTTCAAGTCATATTTAAAAAACTTCTTTGACAAAGATAAAATGTTAAGTTATCAATTCACTGCTATGAGCGTGGGCTGGACCAGATCAATCTCCAGAGGTCCCTTCCAACCAAAATTGTTCTGTGATTTTAATTTTGCTCCTCAAATATCCTTCACTGAAATTAAACACAGTTAATTGCTAATTTCCTCCTTAGTTTTATACCTTCTGATTTTTGTGGGCACAGAACATGGCATGTGATAAACAAGCTTGCTCAGGGGACTGTGAAAAGGAAAACAACCTCTCCTTGTCTTTTCTGATCCAGAGAAGAGGCAAAGCAAAAGCTTCCATCTCACCTTGGCCTCACTTAACTGTTTTTCTGTTTATTTTCTACATTAGCAATGCGTGTATTCTTGGAACTACTTTGAGGCTCTCTAAACAGTAACACTACAGTGGCCAATAGAGTAAGAAGCTGAGTAATTAAGTGGAACATAACGGATTTTCAAGCGTTGTTCAAGGGGGGTTTTTTGCTTATAATTTAAATGCCTAAGGAGTGTTCTGCATCGAAGATATTTTTTTGTCTGACTCAGGACTGTTGGCTCTTCAGTTAGGGCATTTAAGAGAATTAAAATGCTCCAAGGCTCCCAACAGATCTTCAGAAGAATGCTGTAAGGCAACAATACATTTTCCCACACTTTTGAAGAAAAAATTAAATATATTCCATGTTATTAACTATTCTTTATGCCACAGAAGGGACGAACTAAAGCACAAATCCAATTAAAAAAATTATTTGAAAGTCACTTGATTGTACCAGGGTTTTCCTGCATCCTCAGATAGCAAAAAAAAAAAAAAACAAACAACCCTATGCTTCTCTTTTTCAAGAATATAAACTTATAAAATCCTAACAAAGTGAAAGTTAATAGTTTTGTGTTTCTACTCCAGGATAGCAAACAACAAGTTCTGACAACATTCAACAAGGACAAGCTGCATGATATTCAGTATTATGAGTATTAATTAAAAACCACTGGAAAAGCACCAATACAAAAAGCCACAAGTCACAGAATACCACATCATTATAGAATACAGTTGATACTTGGAAACAAGAAAGTCTTGTAAAACCAGAGAAGGGCACTTCAATTTAATCATCACCATCCCCACAGCTATTACCTATGTAGGCCAATGCAGACTGTTACAGGAGTCACGTCCTCGTTCAAAGGGAATCCATTATATAGCTTTAGCAAAAAGCCTTAGGCCGCAAGCTGTGAACGTTCACCGAGAGACTGATGAACTTACACTGAACTCTTACTTGGTTACATGAGGGAAGGCCCCGACCCGGGTGTAAATGAGAAAGATAAGACAGACGCATCCATCAGCAGAAGTTGCCTCCTCAAGAGTAGATAAAGCACAGCCTGCCTGGAGGCAGTGAAGGGATCCAGCAAGGACCAAGGAGACCCCAGACCCAAATGCTACTACTGGGCCAAACCATCTCGCGAGGGGAGGGGAACTTTGACTGTAAGGGTGTAATTGCCCAGAGATTCTTTGTTCGGCGTCCCTCTCTGGAGACACCCAGCTTGAGTTGTTTATTCCACTGCTGTACTACTTAATAAACTCCTCTGGCGTACGTCACGTCAGAGATTCTGCTTCGGGAAACCCAGGGTCGAGCCTGAGGGAAGAGGAGGTGCCCGAGAGGGAGTGAGTGTGTGTGTGAGGAGGGGAAGAGGGCACCGTCGGCTCGCTGGAGTCGCCGCTGCGAAGGGACTCCGGTCCGAGCAGTTACAGCCGTGGGTGGTGGTGTGTGCGACTCCGCGATCGGTGTGTGCATGCTCGGGCAGCGGCTGCTCCCTTAACAAGACATAATTCACAAAAATGTACACAGAAGAAAATATATGAATGATATAGTAAAATTGATCTATAAAAACTCTAAAAACCCAAAATCCCAAGTTCTCTATTTGGCTGGAAAGCATACTGAACACCACCACAGAAAACCAAGACACAGAAGAATTACATTGCAGCTGTAACAACAGATACAAGGACTTTCAATAATTGTCATCAGTATGTCAGACAGAAAACAGATCAATGAAGGCAAGTGTAAGAAGACACTGCAGCAAGCTCCAGCACCAGCTCTATGCAAATAAGACAAGTATAAACTGTGGTTATCATGAAGTAACAAAAAAAATAAAGGGCAAGGAAGGGCAGGTAGAGAAGACAGCTGACAGACTCTGAAAATTCACATCTCAAGAACCTGACACACACACTTTAACCACAGGCACAAACAGATGAAACTAAAAGCAAACCAATCAATCAGTAAAACTACGAACCTCGCACTAGAAGACTGCACCTCATCTGAGCATCTAACTATTAAAAAAAATAAGGGAGGAGGGGATTGTACACCAGCATAGCCTTATAATAGTTCAAATAATGCTCTTTCAGAAAATAAAATTCAGCTGAGAGATGCACCATTTCTGTTGCAGCCCCTGCTTTTTACCTATCCCAGCCCTAAAGGCTCTGCTTAAACTATCTTTGTGCTGCCAGAAATGCAAGTTTTACTTACTGGCTGGGACCACCTACTATGTGGCAACTCCTTAAAATTCTAGTTGGTGTCAATTGGGGAAGCTAATTAAACACACAGAAAGGCAGCAGGATAAAACAAGGGAGTGCTGGGGGTGTGGAGAAGAGGCAGGAGGTCATCAGCAGAATGGCAGTTCTACCTCTGACCTGAAAGACAGACTTTCTGATACAATGTCAAGTATAAAACAAGATCTTAGACCTCTAGGACACAGCATGAATACAGACTTGGAAGAGAATCCAATCTGTTGTATGGAGCTTTTTCAAGGAAGCCAACTATTAAGGATTGATGTCTCAACTCTGCTTAGCTCGTGACAGCTGTGGGTCATGTGCTAGTGGCCACAAGGTCACTTGTTTGCAGCTGCTAGACTTCTAAAGCTATGCTTCACTTTACTTACCAACAAGGCAGCTGAACAAACCACATCCTAAAAGCTACTGGTTAAATAATAAGCTCAAGGGGAAGAGCTTGTTGTCACTAACAGGAGAACATAAATAGTGTTCATAACAAATAATTCACATAATTTGTGCACAAAGTCCTACATAAAATAACCCTACCTTGTCCATCCAGCAAAGTTTTTATCCTGCTAGACAATAAACAACTTACTCTTAAAAACCATGTACTGCCCTAACGTTAAGGTCATGTACTGCAATCCAGTTCTACATTTTCCTGCAATTTGCAAATTGCCAATACTTAGATGATGAGATATGTGGTCTTGAGGAAGAAAACAAATTGATATTTTGCTACAGTTGCAATCTGTAACATGTTAATACTCCTATTTAATCGACATAGAACTAAGAAATACTACACTGAAAGGCACGTCCAAATTGATTTCATACTCAGTTGTCCTTTAACATGCAAGACAATTTAATTAATTCAAAAAAAAAGCTAGGAATCTACACTTCCTATATAACAATACTGTATAATGAGACCTTTTCTTGTCAGTTTAATGAATACACTTTGTGTGTATGTGGTGATAAAAATCTAAAACATATTCATACACAACGTTAGAATTTTCTACTGTTCTTCAAAATGGAGAGTCCTCCCCCTAATGATTGACTTCGCTATGCAATAGGGAAGAGGCCATTTAAATGGTCTTCACTGTCATACCCAACAAGTGCAGTTCTGAGGCAAAGGAATTCACTGAAAAACTTTAAACATTAGGTACAATTGCTTAAACCGCCTATCGTTTACATCAATCAATTCTGAGGATAAAAAAAGCCCCCAACACGGTCAGCAAAGATTTATTCAACAGTGTTGTAAAGTATGTGGCACATTACTCTTTATCCATACAGGTTCAAAATCCATTTTCTGTATGGTGAATCAAGTCATCTCAAAGCATTTTTACAAGTGACACAAAACCACTACATGATTAGACTTTAAAAATTCCTGCACACTTTCCAGTCTGAAAAATGGGTCCATGAATTAGGAAAAAAGGAACTAGCCTTTATTAGCAAACAGAAATACATATTTCTAGAAAACAATGCGTTAGAATAACTTTAGAAATCTGCCTTCTACCCTTAGGCCACCTGGAGCAAGTAAGAGCAAGTCATTTCTGTAGGATTCATAACATCTCTAAACAAAGCTGACATAAGGGCAGTTACCAGAAGCAACATTAGTAAATGGTCCAGGTCTCCTAAGTCCCTGTCCCAGATTGCTCCCTCCACTGAACCACAGTACTACCCACCGCTGAGCGGGGAGCCTTCCCAAGTACAGTCATTCTCCATTTTTACAGATTGCAGCAATATACAAGCTTTTTGCTATATGAGAGAACTATACATAAACTAACGGAAACTATGATATAGTTCACTATTATGGGCTCTATTATCAGCATAAAATCAAGTTTGACCATTGCTAGCAGGACAAAAATAACTTAGGAGTGATCTTCAGGGTGAGCATTTAAATAACCCATGACCACAGTAGTCGTTTTGTCTCAAATGACTATTTATTACAGTGGAAAAATTAATCAAATAGTTTAGGTAATTATGTTCCAGAAGAAGTTCAAAAGGTTCAAGAAGTAAGGCAGGGAAGCAACATCATTAGGGCAAGCAAAAGGCAGCTTCTGACGGGAGCAGATGAACAGCGCAGAGCGAGCAAGATTCAGCGTTTTCAGGAAATGATACATTATTTCTATTATTATCCATCACCAAAAACCCCACCAAAAACCCCCAAAAGCAAAAAAACCAACAGAACTGGGGCACAGTCAGTCTGGGAGAAGAGACAAATGGGAGCATGAGGAACAAAAAAGGGCCCTAGCAAGCAAATACAACTTGGCCAGGTAACCAGAAACTGGAAACAAACAAGAAGCCAGGAATAAAATACAGCACCAGAGCTAGGGCAGAGCCCAGCCAAGCGGAGGACAGAGATGACAGCGACAAGGCGCAGTCGTGGGCAGACAGGAGGGAGGGCAGTTTGAAGGAGCACGTTGCTTGGTACAAACTCCATGGTTTTAGTCCTCTCGGGAGAAATCAATACATCCAAAATACATGCGTTTCTATAAAGGAAACATTTTATACAGGAGAGGTGGAGAAGCAGAAAAGCAGGAATCCTGAAATTGGTTTGGGTCTGTGTTGAAAATAAATATAAAATGGGCTGATTTACATGCAGTTAAACAATCTGACGAAAGCAGAGTTTAAAAGGAAGTTCCCCCCGTCTTCTGCACCCTCAATTAGCAGCGTTCACTCTCCTCATGCCTACCGCTGGCACGCAGACCATGCCTGCTCTCACAACAGACATGACAGCCCCAGAGAAGACAGAAGCAAAGTGTGGGACATCAAGGGAAGGCTGGAGTGACAAGTGGTTTGAGGGCATGGTATCTGTCAGAAGAAGGGAGTGGATCTTCGGCACATCCAACAACAAAATCAACGCATGCTCTTCCATACTGCAGGCACGGGAGGGGAAGACTCTAACCAGATCTGTCAAAGGCAGCAAAATGAAAATCTTGATGCCTAGGGGTGGAGAGGGATGAGCATATCCAGGGTCTCAAAAGAGAAGTATCTGTTAAACAGCTGGAAATAGCCCCTAAAGAATGGAAAAGCATTCCTCCCCAAGCACACTGACAGCATGTTTACCAAAACCCAGAAAGCCAGCAATAAAATATCATTAACCCCTTTAAGTGTTGCAGGACACATGCTATTAAAATCTCAAATCAAGTGCTAAATGGAGTGGCTTCCTAACTTAATGTTGACTGGTAATAGAATGTGTTATTAATTAAAACTCTAGTGTTTAGTGACATTCGGGGGGGGAAAAGGTCTTTTTGATACTTCAGAGAGCCCTTTGTACATTATTCCCATAATGAATTACTGCTGGAGTTAATAACTGTTATATTTCATGTGGAGGTGTCTCAGATAAAACTGGAGGTATCAATCCACACAGATTTTGGAGTCCATCTGTACCCAGAGAGGGTAAGGTAACTGAGTATCTACTTGGTCAAAGCAACAGAACATGCTATTGCTGTAACAGCAGAAACTCTACCAAATAGTCATTAAAAACAGCTTGCTTACATTCTGGAATAGTTTCTATTTAACCCACTGGGCAGCAAAAGATGTCTAAGTATCTGCCACCTTGGTCCCCAGTATCCCTGACAGAATCATTAAGTTTCCATTTAGGTTGTAGAGGAGAGTAATTATGGAATCAGATTCCAGATTTCAGTTCACACGACACAGAGAAAAGATGATTCTAGCAGAAAGCGTGCTCTCAGACTACACAAATGAGTGCCCAGACTTGCAGCAAATTCTGTGCATTACGATGATCACTGCAAAATTAATGTGCTGTCAACAGAGGTGGATGGAGAAATATACAGTGAGGTCACTGGAAGTCAAGGATCATTAAAAAAAGGCCATCTACTCAACATCTCAGCAGGAGTGTTTATTTTAACAGGATTTTTAATGGGAGGCTTTCTTTCTTTTGTGCCATACACGAGCTAAAATCGAAAATGATCTCATTTTAGGATATCATAACAGAAGAGACAGTTGTATTTCTTTCAACATTGAAGTCGTCATACTCACATCCCAGAGCAGGCTGTGATGTGTTTTTATTTGCTGCCTTTTCAAAATACTGCATGTAGAAGGACATTTTCACCCCACTGATAGCCAAACTTCATAAAAAGACAACATCAAGGGACACTAAAAGATCACATCTAGGTAGAAAGGTGATCTTTTATTTTACAGCTGTAATGTGACATCTTTTCAGAGGCTGTGCATACCAGAATCCCTAATATCTACCTTAACACGGTACAAGGAAGTCACTAAGAGAAAGAAGCTACTCTTAAGGATTCATTTTTCTGAAATCTGAAAACCAAATATTCCAATCCCAAAAGTAGAAATGGAGGTAAGGGGATGTGTCTGGTTTTAGATACTTAAAGCAAACGCAGAGAAAGACAAACACTGGATAACCAAAAAAAAGCACCATTGTATTTTAAGTCGTTAGAAACCTGTCAAGTACTTCATTTCCAAAGAAATACCAATACATATGATCTGCCATTCAACATCCTGCCATTAGGAAAAAACATCATTTAATGTGAAACATAAAACGAATTCACCATAACCATGCAAGAATTGATGTATAAAAAAGCCTTGTCACTTACTGGCTGATTCCCTCAAACGAAGCTTCTTTGGAGACATTTCCACTATCAGTATTGACACCGCGCTGGGAGGAAAAAGATGAAAAGGACCATGATTCCGAGACAAATAGAAGGATTTAAAATTTAAATCACAGGGAGAAACTGATGGCAGTAAGTCTTTAGGAAAACTTATGTATAAGTTTATTTGAATCACTATAAATAAAAATCCCAGACTGTTCAAATGCAGACCAATATAAGAAATTATTTGTTTCATAAGTGACCAACATAGAACTCCGGTTAGGATGTGCTGCTTAGGAAAATAGCAAGCTTTGATTTCTAATTCCTGTGTGTCTTGAGAGGGAACTAGGAGACCTATATAATAATAAAGGGCAAGGGAATAACAAACGCGCAAGGTTTCTTCTGAAGTAATTTAATTTAAAAACAAATTATTACACACTGCCTTGGCAATGCTTACTATTTAAATTTGCATGCTGCTTCCCTACAGCTTTCCATTCAAGCAAGTAGCATAAGCAAGACTATTTTGGCTGCTACACAGCACATGAACACTTCTGACATGTGCCTGGGAAACCCTGTGGAGCAGCGTTACAGTTCTGTGTGTGGAATGAGACCACATGGGAAGAGGACCAAGCTTCCATGCAGCCAGCAGGAAGAGAAGTGCTCTCTTCCCTTCCCTGGACACAAAAATGACCAGAGGGATGGAACACCTCTCCTCTGAGGACAGGCTGCGATGGTTGGGGCTGTTCAGCCTGGAGAAGAGAAGGCTCTGGGGAGACCTTATTGCAGTCCTTCCAGTACTTAAAGGGGGCTTACAAGAAAGATGGGGACAGACTTTTTAGCAGGGCCTGTTGAAGGGGTAATGGTTTTAAACAAAAGAGGGTAGATTTAGACTAGATATAAGGAAGAAATTTTTCACAATGAGGGTGGTCAAACACTGGCACAGGTTGCCCAGAGAGGTGGGAGATGCCTCATCCCTGGAAACATTCCACGTCAGGTTGGACGGGGCTCTGAGCAACCTGATCTAGTTGAAGATGTCCCTGCTCACTGCAAGAGGGGTGGGCCTAGATGACCTTTAAAGATCCCTTCCGACCCCAAACTATTCTATGATTCTGTGATTCACAGCAGTGGGAGGAGTGTGAAAGCATCACAGCTCCATGCCCTCAGCTAGGAATTAGATAAAAATTCCCCATTACAACAGGATGCTTAGAGAGTGACAACTAATCAACAACTTGTTGTGCAGAAAAAAAACAGCAAGAAGCAGAAGTTGGTCAAATACTCCCTTTCCCATTCATTTCTCTCAAAGAACATGGAAAAGCTATAGGGTTATCATTTATGTGTGTGAGTGTGTGTATACAAATGTAAGTGGAAGAAAGACTGAAAACTGTTTAGGGCCTCTGTTCTTAATGGATAAAGAAATCGGATCTCATGCTATGTGACTGCTTAAGGAGTGATTTCTGGTAAGACTTCTGTCTGGCAACTATCATGGGAAAACAAGAAATCCAGGAGCTGCCACTGCATTTGCTGTAAGGGAAAGCTCAGAGTCAGCAAATCATTTCTGATATAGATTGGAGAAAAGAAATAAGATACTCCTAATAGCAAGAGGTTTACAAAACATCTGTCAAGAAAAGAAGCTCAGGGAGAGGTGATGGGGAAGAAGAAACTTGCAGGCTTTACATCCATTCATTCATCCTTCTTCCAGAGAAATAAGCAAGCACCATTAAAAATACTTGGCAGGTATGTGATATCACTCCCTCCTCCCAGAAGTTGTTCTTACCAACCCACCCAATTGCAGAAAAAGTATTCCCCGAATCCCTGCAGGATTTCCACAGAAAGGCCCAAAGATGCTCATGACATGACCAGAGCAGCAGAAGAAAAAAATGGAGTTGGGAGTCATTGTACATAGGCCGGAGGATAGCACGGTTGAAGTTAGACAGACTCGTCATGTCTTGCCAGAAAACAGATAAAGCTTTTGAAAGAGATTATATAGACTGGAAGGCCAGAGGTTACAAATCTTGAGATCATGGAGGAGCCAGAAGACTAGACAACTATACACACGTAGCTTCAAATTTGGCAAAGATGGAGAGGAAAAGATAGGGAATGAAAGTACAAAGAAATACTGAATAAACTGATCTTACTGAAGAAAATGGGTAGTTATTCTTCAGAATAATATGACTCACCAAAGTAAGGAGCACAGCAGGTTTCTTCGAAGCCAAGACACTGGATATCTAAAAAGAAGTTTTAGATTGCTATTTTTTTTTTCTTTCTTATAATCACATTGATACCAATTTCATCAACATTTGCTGGACACAAAGTAAATAAGCCACACAGACAAAAAAATGCTCCTCTGATATCTTTCAGATATTGTAGTATTACCTGACACTTGCAACAAGAGGCAGTAAATCACAAAATATTTAGAAACGCAGTGCTTAAGTTGGTGGTGTCCTTTAAAGACATAAATACTAACTATAACTTAAACTTAAGTCTATTGTCATTTGTAAGACAGAGGAAATATGAGCCAAAAAGCTGCAATGTCACACAGAAATAAGGAAGAACGGGGTACTCTGTATCCTCAATGCACTGCTGCATATAAAACACACATGCATTAACATTATGAAGTAACAGTTCTCCAGAAAGCTGGAGAGGGAATTTTTACAAGGTCATGTAGTGATAGGACACAGGGTAATGGCTTTAAACTGAAAGAGGGTAAATTTAGATTATATATAAGGGAGAAATTCTTCATTATGAAGGGGGTGAGGCACTGGAACAAGTTGCCTAGAGAAGTTGTGGATGCCCGATCCCTGGAAGTGTTCAAGGCCAGGATAGGACTTTGAGCAACCTGGTCTAGTGGAGGGCGGTTGGAACTAGATCATCTTTAAGGTCCCTTCCAACCCAAACCATTCTATGATTCTATGATTACTATGTTAAAATGTTCTAAATACTTAGTAATGAATGTTTACTGTTACTCTCGCTGCATCATCTTTTACTGACTAATACTTCTATTATGCTCCTTCAGTACCTTTCAAACATTTACACACTGAGAATAAAAATCATTGGGTTTGTAAAGAACTGGGCTTTCAGACCAGCTGCAGAAAGGTGGGCACTGAATTACACATTCCTTGAGGCAAGGAACAGATGATGTAATTCCATGGAGCACAGTTCTATCACCTTTAAACCAGCTTAACAGCATGCTAACAATATTAACAAAAGAAAGCATATGGCAGTGAGATATAAAAATACAAATTTCCCATTTCATTTTTTTTTTTCTCCCCATGAAATATCAGGATTACACACTCACACAGGCCGGTCATTTGTTGACATAAAACTATCCTGTGAATAAGGCCCCTAATGTCCTGGTGGTGGAAAACCAGTTTCTTGGCAAACCAGGCAAAAGTTAAAGACAGAACTTTTGAAAGCTGAACAGTTTCATTGCAAGCTTCAACAGCTTCTACCTTCAATCCATGTAGTCCAGGTGGAAAACAGCCTTTATGTTGGGACAATTTACTGGTCCACATAAAGAGCTCTTTTTCCCATCAATGAGTTTAAGCAGTAAGGAAGCAGAGAATAGAACTGCAATAAAGGCATCTGTTATGAAAAGTGATCCAAAACAACTAAGGTGACCTAAAATAAATGTGATTTTAAGAAATAAAACATGTATTTTCCACTTGCAATTTTCACCATCTGACAGATGAGCATTGGAGCGCCTGTAGTCTACATGGCTCCAACTCACACATGTCAAAAAGCAACCTCTCCACATCTTCTTCCACCTCTACCCACTGAAATATAGGATCAAACTTCACTTCGTAGCTGGGCTCATTATGAAAATTAAACATCCTCACAGCTCATGAGAGCAAAATTTTTGGTCTAGTGAGTCAGAGTTAGTGCTCTGCAGGGACAGAGGTATCAGAGTCTTCCTATTCAAGCTCTTCTCCACAAAAATCACCCACAGAGCTTGGCAGGAATACTGCCCTCACCCTGCTGAGCCTTCCTACCAAAGAAAAGGTAACTAGCCAGGTGCATAAGTATACAAACATCTGCTCAGAAATGAAATGAGAAACCTAAGCAAGTCACATTTGCATTTAAAAATATGAATATATTTTCTTATACAGCTATTAGCACGATTCAACATAAACTAAGAGTAAGATAGGTGGCCTTTCCTCACAGGTCTTTGGAGGCATAAAATAAATGTAGGTTCCAAAATTAGAGCTAGGACATGCAACCTCCTTGACATAACTCCACAAATCTGCAAGGCATTGCAAAAAATGTATTTAGCAACATGCTTCTCTTGGATAAAGACACAGACTGACAGGTCTCATGATGCACAGAACATGTTTATGAGACTGTCTTTGGATTAAGACCTCAGTGTTCAGCTCAAAAGGGCAGCCTTAAAAAAAAAAAATACTACAAGTTCTTTGTAAGAATGAAGGACACTTTCCAGTAACTGAAAAGTAACTGTGGTGGGGAAAAAGGTCCCACCAAGTCAGGACACATCCAGTAAGCAGAGGACTAAAATTAAGCAAAATCATTGCCATATATTGATTTTGTGTTCACAGAAAAATATTCAGACACAGACAACTCACCTTGTTCACATAGTGGACTTCATCCACAGCGTATTTTTTCTTGAAGAATTCAGGGGGATGAATCCTTTGGAAAACAACAAAAAAACCATTTGGTTTTAGCTTTACTGTTATATTTAATAAGGCCATAAACAAAGAAATAATGTTCTCTACTATCACAACAATAGAATCAGATATGAGGAATGTTTTAATAATCTTATTCTTGACTCCATTTCTCAAAATAGGAGATTACACAGAAAGTTGCCACAACTACAAAAATCAATGTGCTTTAATCCAGTTCATGCCCGATACTTAGATTTCATGGTCTCCTCCTAAATTAAAGGGTAATTTTTCCCCATTTACTCTACCCAAGACAGTTTTGTTAAAGACTTTTTCCACGCATTCTGTTTCTATACAACTTTCCAACTCAGCAGACATTTGAAGGATGTGGAAATAGCAGACAACCAGTTTGCCCTGTGTTATATTCAAAGAATGAACAAAACATTCATTTTCTACCCTGGTAACCCCTCTGAGGTGAGCATGAAGTGGACTGAGGGCTATGAAGACATGGGCTGTGCCACTTCTATTCCTCAGGACACCAGAGATCCACTCCTCTAACCCAACAGGATATGCAACTTTACATGTCCACATCCAAAATAAAATAATTTCTGCTGTCTTCAGCCCAATACCCAACCAGAGACTTTTTTCCTAAATGCCAAAAGAATGTGAGAGTCCTGTGAAAGATCTACTTGCAGTCAGCTGGGGCAGACCCCAGCATGGATCAACACTCCAGGGTTCTCCCACCAGCCCTGAACCAGTGGCTGTACCATTGCTCATTCCTTCACCTTATGGTAGCAGCCAGTTATTCATGAGATTTCAGGTGCTGATTACAATCTCTATCCCCCCCCAAACTGAAATAAACATAATCAGTGTAATTCTGAAAATGTAATCTCAAAAGAAAAAAAAGAAAAAAACCCACCGAGCTTACATCCTTCCATAGAGTAAAGAAAACAGGAGTTAAAAAACGTGGTCAGAGGATCTGTGCATTTTGCTTCCCAAGTGACAGCAGGAGAGCAAGAGGTGAGCGCACGACTGAACCTTTGGCTGTTTAAACGTTAGGACTACAAGAGCACAAGACCAACTGGGGAAAGAATAAATTAGGCTGGAGCTTGAAGAACATTTCTAATCCTTGCAGTGACAAACAGCAGAAATGGTGGGACAAACACTTCAGCATCTTTAGGAGGTGCTCGTAACAAAGGCATATGCTGTAGCTGCCCACAGTACCAGGTGGCTAGAGCTCTGATTTACATAATTTTTTCAATCTTGTGCACTCCTTTTTCATTTTACATTCCTTTATGGTCCACACAGTACTGGCCTGAGACATGAATGACAACATAAAAACATTCATGGTGTTCTCAAGCAGTAAATGACAGATTATTTTTTTAAATTTTACTTATCTGTGAAAGTACTACTCCAAAAGTAACACAAAAAATATCTCATTATATGTTCCCTTTTGCAATGCTCCTTTTGTGGACTCTTCCCATCACTGCTGAAAATTTCAAAGCAATTATCATTTATCTTCTCTCCCTGGCTAATTTCACATATAATTTAAAAAAAAAAAAATCACTGTATCCTCTTATCTTTCTATATCCTGTACTTTATAGTTCCCTTACCTCCAACTTTTGCATACTCTGTTTCTCTTACAGGCATCTCCTTTTCCATTCCTTCATTCCTCACACATTCAAGTACTTTAATATTCCAGAAACATCACAGATTTAGCACTTTCCATTTTTGTTCTCTTTTACAGTTTCAACCAATTCATCTGGTATCAGAAAAATCCTAACTGTAAAAGCAGCTAATTTATGGTAACATAGGTTCTTTAGAGCAATACCTATAAAGCACCATTCACCATTGTTTGAATCCAAGAACTGTTTCTTGTAAAGTAAATATTTCTTAGAAGTATGCCCACAAATGTACTGGATTTTATTCACTTCATTTCACAGAATCACTAGGTTGGAAATGACCTTC